ATGAAATCTGCTCAGGCCTCTGGTGAAAATAAAACTATCCATGACTTAGGATGTGAGACAGCGGTTTCCTTCCTAGAGTAGCTTCCCCGGAGGCTTGATGTCAGTAGCTGCACAAGTGGGTGTGGACTAGGATTGATTTCCCATCAGGCAGCCAGAGCGATATTTTACAGTCCTTCCCCACGGGCTGCTGATCCGCCCCTGGCAGCCTCTCACAACCTCATACCCACACCCTGTCCCTCACTCTACTCCAGCCACTCTGGCTTTGGCTCACACTCACCAAGCCATTCCTCTGCCTTTAACTGTTGTGTTTTCCCTTGACTAGTTCATGCCATTGTCATCTCAGCTTTAAATATCACCTCCTCGTAGACGAAGCATGAGAGACTATGGACTCTGAAAAACAAACTGAGGGTTCTACAGGGGAGGGGGTGGAGGGATGGGTTAGCCTGGTGATGGGTATTAAAGAGGGCACGTTCTGCATGGAACACTGGGTGCTACATGCAAACAATGAATCATGGAACACTACATCAAAAATTAATGATGTAGGATTAACATAATAAAAAAAATAATTAAAAATAAATAAATAAATATATATCACCTTCTCGGGATGCCTGGCTGGCTGGCTCATTTGGTTAAGCGTCTGCCTTCAAGTCAGGTCATGATCCCAGGGTCCTGGGATCGAGCCCTGCATAGGGCTCCCTGCTCAGTGGGGCGCTTGCTTATCCCTCTGCCTGTTGCTTCCCCTGCTTGTGCTCTCTCTCTCGCTCACTGTCTCTCTGACAAATAAAATCTTTTAAGTAAGTACCACCTCCTCAAAAAGGCCTTCCCTGGTTATCCATTGAAACGGGTCCACCTTGTTTTCATTTATTACTGTACCCTAGGCTTTTCCTCCATGGTACACAGTAGAATTTTTTATGTATATCATTGAAGCTAAGTTACTATAAAAGAGTGCATAAAAGATAACTAAGTCCCCACGTATTTCTAATTCTTCCATCCACTTTTAGGCACTGGGTGGTGGTTACCTCCATTGGGGCCATTTTGAAATGATGCGCCTGACAATCAACCGCTCTATGGACCCCAAGAACATGTTTGCTTTATGGAGAGTACCAGCCCCTTTCAAGCCCATCACCCGCAAGGGTATGGGACAGCGCATGGGGGGAGGCAAAGGTGCCATTGATCACTACGTGACTCCTGTGAAGGCTGGCCGTCTCATAGTAGAGGTGGGTGGGCGTTGTGAATTCAAAGAGGTACAAGGTTTCCTGGACCAGGTTGCCCACAAGTTGCCCTTCCCAGCAAAGGCCGTGAGCCGTGAGACTCTTGAGAAGATGCGGAAAGATCAGGAGGAACGGGAACAGAACAACCAAAACCCCTGGACCTTTGAGCGCATAGCCACTGCCAACATGCTTGGGATACGGAAATTCCTGAGCCCATATGACTTGACCCAGAAGGGGCAGTACTGGGGCAAGTTCTATATGCCTGAACGTGTGTAGTGAGAATGGGAGACATAAATGTACAAAGGCTACCAAGAGAGAGAATCTACATTTTTATTCCCCTCAGCCTACCCTTACAGTCTTTGGGTGGCTCTGAGATCTAACCAAGGAGCAGTATATGAGTAAATTATTTCTGAGAAATTGTAGAATATCTGTTGATTTTTTTTTAAGTGCATTATATTTATATCAAATAAAGTATGAGTATCACCTCAGGATATAACTTTTCATTGGTCATTCCTAATCCTTAAATGATTATGAAGCTGGCTTCACTGACTGTTAGGGGGTCCAGTTCTCCCCAGCTGTAAGATGAATGTCTTCAGGGCTGAAACAAATGCTTCCATCTCCCACCTCTGGTATAAGTTGGATTTAATATCTGCACGGGTTTCCCTGCTGTCAAAGTCTGCTTCACATTTGCTTTTGCCAAAGAGCTACAGTAGTACCTGTTTTTCTCAAACTGAAAGAAATCTGAAGAAGATTTTCGCTTTTACAAAATGGTAGTTCTTCACTGTACATCATTTCAGTTTAGGAACGCTCTACTTTTGGACAGTGGGAGAATTCTGTACCTTCTTTAGTACAGGAGCTAGTTGATATCTTTACTAGTTACAAACTTTTTGGAAAGCAAAAAAATAGCAGTACATACATTAATTGATTGAGCAGATATTTATTTATGTCCAGCTACCCATCTCAATCTCGGAAGGCAAAGGGGGACGTTGGACGATACAGTAAGGAACATACCATTGCCTTTTAACACGAGGAACTTCGATAAAGGTTGTTGTCTGGCCTTTCCTAGGTCTGAAATTCTCTGAGGAGGGTGAGTGTTTGGCTCTACCTTTGCTTCCCTGCAGGTTCTAGGACGGTGCAGTGTGCCACACAGCACTCAACTAGTTACTGTTGGATGAATAAAGGCCCCATGTGTTCCAGATCCCCATGGTTCCACCTTCCTGTCTGTCTTTAACAAGATTCATCTCTTCCAGAGCTAGCCAGCAGTTTTCTACCCCCTATAAAACTGAAAGAAATACAAATGGATAGAAATAGTAAACCATTTGCTTTTGCAAGTGGGTAGAAAACAGCACACTGACTTGAAATGTCAGCTTTTTTTCTTAATCCCACTTTTGGCTAAGGTCAAGTGTAGTATCTGTTCTTACCAGTTTAATCCCACTTTCTTAAAAAGATGTCCCACAAAGAAAGTAATCTACTTTCAAAAGTACAAATATATCTAAACAGTTACACGGTCCTCAAGAGTTGTACATGGTGGTTCTTAATGTATTTTTAGTGAAGCTCTTGTAATATAATTACTAGATTGCATTAGAACACATCTGAACCTTGAATTGGGGCCATTGTTTGGGACAGTTTTATACACACATTGTTGGCCAACAAAATCAGGTTCAGGTAGCACCACAAACCATGTAAGAAACCATGGGAGTGGTAGCCACCTGTCACCTCTCTGACCTGACCTCATCTCTGCTACGGTTCACGAGTATGGTGCTGATGACTGTTGGGAGTTCAGTTGCGGTATAAACCTGTTTCTTTTGTTTGGGACCCACACCGGGTTACTGAACCACAATCCTGGGGCCAGCCAATCTTTGCAGAGTGAGAGACTGTCCACTCCATCACCACCCATAAAAAAGAACTTTGTATGTCACAGTAAAGGGAGGCCTGTCCTATTTTTGCATAAGTGAATCAGCCCCTTCCCAGGTATTTGCACACAGCCTCTGATACTAACAAACCCATTTACTACTGATGCTTTAATAGGTTTCAGAGTAAAACCCATGGACTCAACCGTTAGCAGAAATCAGAGCTTAATTAACAGGTAATTAAGTCAACTGATACTTGAACATTCGTAAGTGGCAGGCACTGTGCTAAGCATTGGGGACGCTGCTGTGAGCAAGACCTGCATGGCGCCTATGGTTAGACCATCTTCACTTTAGACTATTAGACCCTGAAGAAGGAAGTAGATGGGAGGGCTGGTCAAAGATGAGACCTAGAAGAACCTGAAGAGCAGACGTAACAAAGGCCTGGTGTTGATCAAAGAGAAAATGAAGTGCTGATGAGCTGGGTGTGCTCCAGTACCTGCCTGGCTCTGTTTTATTTCCTGGACAGGCACGTATTCTCCAGCCCACAGCCCCTCCTGGACACCATCTTGCCAGCCAGCCTCATGTTGCTGTGCAAACTGTTCCTTCAGCCCCGCCCCCACCCAATTCTGTACTGTCCTAAGTCTACCTTTGCATAACTTTCAATAGGTGGTTGATGGACACCCTGTGTCATAGGTTTCATAATGGAAAGAGGAGTAGCTGTTGAGGAATCTGCAGTGGAGAAGTGATGGCACCACAGAAGTGAAAGAAGGATGAAAAATGCCGACCGAGGCTCTGTTGGGGAGGACTGCAGGAGAGAACGGAGGGGGAAGAAAATCACAGGTTATACAACAGGATGTCCGAAGCCAGGATCACCAAGCCCTTCCGCTGCAGTGGCAAAGAGTCTACTCAGCGAGTCTGCACTAACTAGCCTGAACCCTCAAAGAGAGGAAATTAATTTACTCTGGATTTACTGGCTGGCTCTCTTCTCCTAAGGAGTTCGGGGTGCTTCCAATGCAAGAACTAATTCTTTCTCCTTTAGCCATTCCCAGACACCACTGCCCAAATTTTGCTGCAGGAAATCAACATCCTACAAAGCATTCTAAACAGAGCATTCTGCTACCAGCCCTGGTTATGGAACGGACTGCCACCTGCCTTCCCCATCTACTGCCAACTCATTATTAACACATTTTTCTCTCTATGAAAACTTTTTCCTTAGTTCTCTCCAGCCTTTATCTATTCTACCACCTAATCCCACCCAAATCTGGGGAACCCAGCTACAAACAACAAATGCCCTAAGGATATAAAAGTAAGTGAAAGTACCTCCCACCCTCCCCACAGCTGGCTCACCTTTTTCAGGCAAATATGCCCCCAATGGTAGAAGCTAAGATGATCGCAAGGATAATACAGCAGATCATGATCATGATCTTCTTCTGCTCGTCCAGACAAGGAAAGAAAAAGCATGTGAGAAGCAGCATCACTGTGCAGAGTTGCAAGGGAAGGAAGACAAAAGTGGATCCAGACATGGAGGAAGATGTGAAGGGAAAGGGAGATGGATCTGGCTTCTAGAACCCAAGATGTGAATAGAAGTGTAGCTTTCAGGCAAGAGATTCAAAATTAGATCAACAGCGATCTCTGAGGGTGTTTAGTATGTTGTTCTGCTTTCTGGATCCCATCACATGAGAGTTATCCCCCTCCTCTCCTAGAGCTAGGTACCCATGATGAATGAACCAAATTCCTGGTAGGAGTACCTTAAACCTGAAACTCAAATATAGTTACAATGTATTCTTTGAGAGTTAAAGCATTTTCAGAAATTAGAACTTTTGATCCATCTGGTCTGGAACATGGTTGAAAGGATTTTAACACTTTTCTGAAACCTAAAGAAAAACCACCACATGGTGGCACCCAACCACTATTTTGCAGGGAAATAGAGCCAGAACTGTTTCACAATCAATATAAAGTAATTTATTTTTAAATTATCAATAAAATAATCAAGTTTACATTTAAAAAATACAAATGACAAAAAAACCCTTCACTTGTATTCCAAACTAAGCCCCAGGGCTCAACAAAGACCTGTGATTAGAGCTTGTCTTCCCTTGTTGCTGGAGCCTGTCCACTGTCCTGACTTCATAGCCATGGGTAAGAAGGCATCCCCTTGGCTCTGTCTGAGTGCTGAGCAATGATGAAGTACATAGCCTTTGCAAAGGAAGCCAAGGGGTAGTCCCTGGATTAGGTGCTCACCCTATCCTAGAAAGTTAAAGCTAAACTATACATCAGGGAGACTGGCAGAGAATCTCAGGGGGTCAGCATAGTCACTACACTTGAAATCATTTCCAGGCTGTTGCTTCCTACATGACAAGAATTGGGGGAGACAAAGAACCTGTCAAGCTCATTAACCTGGTAGCAATACCAGCTACTCAGTAGTCCCCGGTCTCCCCCAGCTGACTCAGCCCTGGAGACGGGATCATCCTAAAGGCCACGGGAATGATCTCAAATTGCTCTGGGATGTTCTCAGGACAAGCCTCACCTATGCAGCAGTGGGGTGAGGTGCCAAAACTTGTCACACCTTCTGTCTGCTAAGCAGAAAAACTTAAGGGGGTCAACTTAGTCCTCACCCCAAAGATCTATGATTGTCCCAGTACTCACCAAAAAACAAGGTTTCTCGATGACACCAGAAGATCACATTTCTACTATGATTCATTTGCAGATAAGCAAATGTCTCTTACCTAATTTTTAGCCTGTTGGTTTGTCTGTTTGTTTGTTTCGAGATTATAATATTCTCCATTTCTAGTTTCCTACTTCCTGAGTGACACGGGCAAATATATACATACGTCTCACACACATGATTATAAAAATACATCTGGAATATATGAAATGAGTGACTGAATACTCGCACCAATCTGAGCATTTCCAGAGCCTGAGACTCAAGCACCTTGTCCCTGGCCCAATTTTAAGTGCCTGGTTATTTTTCACCTCAAGGCAATGGCTTCACAAAGCATCACTCCAATGGAGAACAGCCAGTTTCCAAGAGTCAGAGAGGGAAACAAATATCTTATACCCTCAGCCTTTACAAATGGTAACCTAGGACAATCGTATCATGCTGGTGCCTCCTTGAGTAAACATGAGAGAATACAACATAAAGATTGAAGTTGGCCACCAAGCTGAACATACTAAGAGCTTAATTTAAAATTGAACTTCAAACAAGTCAGCTTCTAAGACCAAAATGACATCTGCCAGTTCCACATATTTTCAAGACATAGGGAAAACAAACTGTGAGGACCAAGACCCTGCCAAGTAGAAGGCTCAAGCCAAGCCTTATTGTTGCCACACTTGGAAGAATCCTTTGTGTTGTTAATGATAACCCCCTACAAAATACACTGCAATTTCTGGAAGGAGAATACTCCATGAGGTAGAAAATACAGCACCTTGGGAAGGTTTCAAATGGGCTTTCCAAGGTGCAAGGCATAATTTGACACATTCAGAGGGAACAAAGAGAAGCTGGGTTGGTTCGTACTGTCTGGGAGAGAAGGCACTTCAGAGTTGGTGGGGCAGGAGCAGGTTTTGAGGAGAACTCAGGGTTGCATCAGGTAGATTAGCTTCCTCCTGGGCTAAATTGTTTGCTGGGTCAGGTCCAAGGACGGTTACAAGGAAACAAAGGAACAGGTCGCACTCTCTCACAGGAAGGCCATTCAAACTCTGTTCCCGTCTGAAGACAAGGGTGGCCACACCAGGCTGGAGTGAAATCAGGTTCTAAGAGAGGCAGGGGAAGGAGGAGCTGATCAGTACACAGGATGATGGTGGAGAGCAACATTAACACTCAGTCACAAACCTAGAAGGTGGAGACGGAAGACCAGACATCACTGCAAAAAGGAGAGCAATGGAGAAGTCAACAGTAAACCTGAGAAATCCTGTAGACAAACCCAAGACAGGACCCAGAAATAAATATCCTGTTGTGAAAGAAACAAAAAGCCATATTAAAAATAAATCCCTGGGCTTTTTATAATCCTTCACACAGGCTGTCACATTCCCGTGGAAGGACTTGCCAGGGGGTGGCACAGTCGATCCACAAAAGCTACCCGTTCTCTCTACAGGGCCCCCATCAGCACTTTTCAAATACAAGTTCCAGAACTTGAATCTTCTCCGTTACTCTCCTACTCCGCACTTCTCTCACACAGTGAAAAGAATAAAGAAAAGTTCAGGGGTCATCATGGCTGCTCCATCTTAAGTGCTGGGTAGGCTCGGGCAAGTTTCTTAACTTTACTGTGCTTCCGAAGAGTTTCCCATCTGAAAATGCGGACAATGTTACTATCCTAGAACAGTACCTGGCACACAACTGGGGAGTCAAAGGAAGGCTGTCTTCCCTCCCTCCTGTTCAGAGACCTCTTGCCCTCAGGCCACATGGGGGGGGGGTGGTCCAGACCTAAAAGCAGCAACCAGTCCCGACTTTATGAAATACACTACAGTAAACAGCCCAACACTACTCAGGGATGACACAGCATTTTGGAGATCAGGTAAGTCAACTAAAAACAATACATTAATTAGTCTCCTCATTTAAAAAAGGAATTCATTTACATTCTCAAGAAGAAGTTGATGTTTAGTGCTATAAATATCTAACTTCGAGACCCTCTGGTCACATGGGAGGAGGAAGAAGGAAGAAGAGGCACACGGAAGCAAAAATGAAGAGAAGAATCAGGTCTGGTTACCAACATGGAAGTATGTGTCAAGTATTAAAGACATTGGTATCTATTACCTCAGCAACCAGACTTCTTTGAATTCAGAAGAGAAAACAGCAATGAGAAAAATAGAGGTTAGTCATACTGTTTGTTACAGTAACACAGTAATCACAAAACTCTAACTTTGGGGAAGTATTAAATAATTGAGAGTATATTCACAATCTTGTGTTGAAAATTAGATTTACAAAGACATTTCAGTGATGTGGAATGATGCATAGGATTTTTGAACTGGGTCTAAAACCATCGATAATGTAGTCTGAAGTCTGTGAAACCATGTCTGAGTGTGTGAACATGCCACAAGGTTATCAGCAATAACATTAAAAATTAATTCTGTTCACCTTTTCTGTGTTTTATATGTTTTTGTTATATGACATCCTATATTTTATTCAGAAAAGTAACACCTAAGAAGTCATAAAAGTGTTAACAGTGCCAATAATTAGATCATTCCCGTCGTGCTGCTACTATGCACATGAAGCCCTGACAGATTTAAAGAAATTAACAGCCTAAATTTTAAACTTACTCTCCTCCAAGGTTCTCTGGACTTGGTAGACAATGATAAATGGCTACCTGGTTTTACAAAGAGAAGCTAAGATGTAGGAAAGAACTCTCCTAGGCCCACCATCAGCTGTGTGTTCAAACTTGGCCCTGTGACGTAACATCTCTTTAAGCCTGAGTGTCTTCGTCTGTAAAATATGATAAACAACAGCACCTACCTCAAGAAGGTGTTGTGGGGATTCGAGGACATGTGTATGAGGTGTTCAATACACGGTCTGGCACAACTCAACACTCAAAAATGTTAACTGCTGTATCATTCAAGATCCAACCCGTCAGCCACAAACAAAACCCCACCACCCCAAACCCCAATCCAAAGCTTTGTTTACACTAAAAAGGGAATGGAAAGCAAAGCCCAAACATCCATGAAAGTCAGCAAGAATTCAGAAGATGAACCCCAGACTCAGGACACAGATTGTACCCAATTAGGAGCATGCTTCCCGAGCAAAAGGAGCAAAAATGTGGTGCTCAGGTGTGCCAGGACAGGTGGCAACATACAGTGTAAGACAAAGAGCTGGGACAGAGTCCCCGGGAGAGGAACCAATGGGAGCCCGGCCCAGAAGAGAACTTCCCCTGGCACCAGAAGCCCAGAAGAGTATTTTAAGGAGATGAAAGAAGGCACAGGTGATAGAAAGTCTGAGAGAGCTCAGTGTGTGTGTCCAAGGACAATCACAAGGGAGGAGCACTGCCATGTGAAATCCCAGGCCAGTTTCTCAAGAGGAAGCCAATCCAGAATCCCCAAGAACCTTCCATTTACTTACATTTCAGTGCAGCAACCACTCGGGCCGCCATTACTTCAGCCCAACGGAAAGTCCAATAATCAATGCTAAAATGCCCAGCAACACCACTACTACCACAATGATAATTATCAATTTCTGGAGAGGATAAGAGAAACAAACAAACCATTATTACAAACAACCAAAAAACAACAACTCATCCAAAACCCAACCCCTCTCACCTCTACATTGAAAGCCTCTTATCAACACAAATAAGACTATAGATCTACATAAAGACATTCTATTAGGATATTTTATATATCTTAAGTGACTTCCTGGCTAGCAAGGCCAGCAGATGGAAACATGGAGCTTCTGTGGGCTCTCGACTCACACTAAGTCTTGCACATGTGGACAGATACAAAAGCAACCATCAGGGGGTCTCCGAGCAGCAATAAGCCAAGGTATAAAGAGACCAATTTTTCATTTTCAAGAAGAAGTGTATGTTTTCAAATAGTCCTAATTTCAAACTTCTGTCTGTCTTTCCCCTAAAGCATACGCCCATCCATCAGACCCAGTCCAGTGACTGGGGATCAGAAAACAGGATGGCAGTCCTATTGTGAGCCAGCCTTGATTCGTTAGGTGAAATAATTTCCCAACTCCCTGAATCCCTGCACAAGCAATAGGTAAAGTTGGAAGAAAATCAAAGAACTGAAGAAGAAAATTATCAGAGCCCAGGAGAATAGTCAGAAAAGAACAGTCTAAAAAGCACAAGCCACCAGAGCTGGCTACCACAATGGGCAGAGAAGTTGAGAAGTTCTCAAGCAACAGGGACACCGGGAGAGGGGTAAATATGCTGGTGTGGGGGAAAGAGCATGATTGGAATCTGAATTTGAATCCCAATCCTATACTTACTAGGTGCCATGAAGCCACTTACTAGGTGCCATGAAGCCACTTAACCTCTGACCCTCAACAGTTTCACCTATAAGTAGGGAATAACAGGTGCTCCATAAGATAGGAGGTAATGTTGTATGGAGATCAGCACAGCACCGGGTTCACAGTAGAAAAAAGGGGGGTGGGCTTGGTTAATGGAGTGGAAGAGAGTGAACAGGTTTCTGAAGAACAGAGGAGTCAAGTGTAACATCTGAAAGGATCATGAGCTCCATCCAGGAGAAGTCTAACGGCAACACTGGGCAATGCATCCACCCTGCAGAACTGTCTTCAAGTGTGGGTTCTAGGGTAGAGAGTATGTGAGCCAGATCCATGCAAGGCACACCAGGGGAGAAAGGGCAGCTACTCTCTGGGAAAGGCTGACGTAGGTGTTGGGATGAGGCCAGGACAGAAAGGGAAGGCACAGGATCAAGTACACAGGTGGGGAGGACCAGAGAGAGGAGAAGCAAGCCAGACCAGTGGAGACTAAGGTGCTCACCCTCCGAGCTTCACTCTGAAACTTGACAGCCTTTTTGGTATCTGCCACGGCCCGCTCCACAAAGCCCACTGACTGGTCCATGTTGTTCTCGATACGGTCAATCATGGCTCCCTTTCCCCAGATGCAAGAGGTGGTGGCAGCAGAAACAGAGACAGGCACAGGGAAGAGAGAAAGAGCAAGAGACAGGAAGGAGAATGGACTCTCTTCTCTGAAGGCAGCCGGAGAGTCTCACCTTCCGGGCCTGACCCTGGTACTTCACAGCTCTTTTCGTTTCTTCCCGTGCCTTCTCCACATGGTCCACTGTGTGCATGACATTCAGCTCTATGTTATCTAGCATCTCACCCTGCAAAGAACAGACATGAGTCACACCCCATAAACCCACGCCAGGAGAGTTGGAGCTCACATGGGGACGGGGCTCTTGGTTATAATCCCCGGTGCAAAGAGGAGCAACCAGAAGTCTTCTGTGGGGTACACGTTCCATCTTACATGGGATTACCTATGGCTCCCCAGGCCCTGGTGGTGGTCACTCACTCAAGCAACACTCAGTAAATTACTTCTCTGGGACAGGCACTGCATGGAGCACGTGGAGCACAATGTCGAGATGCCTGGCAAATACATGTTCTAACAGATCCCACCACCACCATTCTGTTTTTAATTAAGCATATGAGGAGAGGAACCAAAATAAGAATATCTTAGGGCATAATAACTGGGATGCTGGCCTCTTCCTAGTCGTGCAGACCTGAACCAAGTTCATTTGGCCTGAGGCAAGTTTGTTGCCTAGTTCTTCAGAACAGACTGGCCAACAGGAGCTGCTCCGTAAACATCTAAGGTTGGGAACATCTGCTTTCTCCAGGAGAAACTCCCAGGCCCCTAAGGTGACAGACATGGGGTTTACCTAAGCTGTCTGGTTACATCTTATATCTCCGTGGTTATTAAGAGACAGTGATCTCTTGGCAAGATTCCCAACCATCTCCCAGCGATTACTTCCTGACGAGGAAGCACGGTCGCTCTAGTTAATTCTGGGCATCTTAGGATGGGAACGCCCCTCACCTACCTCGACCTGCCTCAACCCAACCCGTTGCTTTACGGCACTCTATAAGCAGAGAAAGGCACTTACCATCACTTGACTCTCAAACCAAGTCCTCAGCAAGGCCGCGAGGAGAGAAGAAAGAAAAGCGGGGAAGGAGGCACTAAGGAATGGTCTCAAAGGCCAGAAGGGGGTAGAGGAAAGGCACCTGGGCCCTGAGCAGGGGACGGCTGTCGGAAACCAGCCAAGCAGTGCTCGGGCTTCAGGCAGGTTTTGCAGCCCTTCCACAATGGAAGCCATTTTCAGTCCCTTCCAGGAGGGCAGAACAGCTGGAAGTTCATGGTAATGGCGGCACACCTGGACCCCGTGGCATCTCTGACTTCGTCATAAGAACAGCAACCACCTGACCATGTGGAGCCAACACCCTATGCAGGTGAGAGACTTACAACCCTGAGCAAACATGCCCAGGGACAGAGTAAGGTGACAAAACCATGAGGGTTTCAGGTGTTCTTACAAATATTATTCTACCTTTCCTTCCTTCATTTTGTTATCTGTTCTTGTTCCTTAGCAAAAGGTGCCAAAATTTTTGGAAAAACATACAGAAGAAAAAACAAAAATGGGAAAAAAATTAAAACCTCCGCGAAAGCTAACTTTTCACCATGAATTGGGGAAATGATCCTGTTTTCAGTGTCACCCATGAAATTGTTCCTATCAGGAGACTGCTTTAAGGCATCCTCATTAAGAACCCACATCCCCACTTAGAAGGGAAACAAGAGGTGCAGGCGGAAGGAGGTAGTACTTGACTGAGCGCATCAAAACCCACAGTAAGCAGAAGTGAGGCCAAAGGAGCAGGCAAGACGACAAGGATGAGCTGGCACTCAGGAGGGCATTCCTTTCCTGGGACACTGGGATCCTGTTACTCCATCATGAGGATTCCCGATGATTCCCCCACCGCACCTCACTGACCTTCCAGTCCTCCCGTCTCAGGAGGACCTGAGCTTTCCTCCCTCTCCCCAGGGTGGTGCCCACTGCCGGTTACCTGATTCTCCACCAGCATGGCGATGTCCACAAACATGTCATGAAGCTCCTTGATGCTGCTCTCCAGCCTCACAATGTCCTTGTGCCGCCCCTCGATCTCACTGAGGGCTTGCTTGGAAATCTGGGAGTCCATGATCTACAACAGGCCACACAAAGACCAATCATCAGCCGGCACCCCCGCCACAGACCCCACTCGCACTCCGGCCAAGCCCCCTGCCCCCCTGCCTCCTTGCATCTGCAGACCTTCCCGCACCAACCACACAGAGCTCCACGGCAGCCTCCCCTCTCCACGAGAGGGGCGTGCATCCCAGCTCCCAGACACTCACCCCAGAAGTGAATATGGCGGGGTTCCCACTCTCCAGCATCTCCTCCAGCTCCTCATCTGTGGTCTTTTTGCCGGCTTTATAACAAAAGAAGTAGAGCATCAAATACAAGACCAAACAAAGCACACCAATGCAAAAGTTCCCTGAAAAGGGTGCATGGGTGGCTCAGTTAAGCATCAGCTATTGACTCGGGTCATGACCCCGGGGTCCTGGGATCGAGCCCCACATCAGGCTTCCTGTTCAGGGAGAAGTCTGCTTCTCCCTCTCCCAGCTTGTGCTCACTCGTGCTCTCTGTTGCTATCTCTGTCTCTCTCAATTAAATAAAATCTTTAAAAAAACAAAAAAAGTTCCCTGAAAACCAGGAACACGGTAACTTCACTCTAAAGACCGTGGCCTTTATAACACACCCCCAAGAGCTCCTCACATGCCTTACTCCCAATTTCTCCCCTAATCTAATCCACCCTTAGCATTACAGGTGGTTACCTTCCTGAAGGACATATCTGACCACATCCCTTCCTAGCTCAGAAAGCCGACTGGCCCGTTCACTGTGCCTCGGAGGATCGGGAGCCAGTTCCTAGGTGAGCCCTCCATCCTCCACCTAACCCCACATTGCTCTTCCCAAGGGCTCCCCCTTCCCAGGCTGGACAGTGGCAGCACTCCTAAACACACTTGCTTTTCTCTGATGACATCCTGGTTCACATACTTCCTCCACTTAGAGCCCTTGGCACCCTGTAGTGCCCCAAGTCCCTGAAGGGCGGGGCTGTCAGAATATGTCTGTTCCTCACAGCACCCAGCGCCATCCTATAATCTCATAAATGTTCTTTGCTGTCAAAGACACAACAAAAAATATCATGAGTCCCCAGGACGGCAACTGTCAGCAAGTGCCTCCCCTCCGTGTGAGGAAATGTTGGCGCCCACAGGAACCAAAAGACCTGGGCCTGACAAGCATCATGCCACCTTGCAGCCCACAATGGGGCATCAGGTGCAGTGGTGCCCTAAGGCCTCTCCTGGACTTGGGCACAAATGCAGCAGAAGCCACAAGCAGGGGTACTGCTCCTCGCTCTCCCAGTTCTCCCGACTTGGGACACACAGCCCTGTGGCAGGGAAAGGCGAAGGGGCGCGCACCAACTTCAAACACGCACTGATTTCGAGCTGCCGCTGGATTCGCCCTTTACTGCGTTCACGGAAGTCCACCTGAGCCTCGTTGTATTTGGTCATCACCTCCACAAACTTCCGGGACAGGACAGAATGCTGTGGGAACCATGCCAAGTGCAGTAAGCCCCCAGGAGCTGATGGCCAGGGACCCCACACTGTTATAGAGCCCACACCCCCAGCCCCATCCGGCCCAGGCTGTGGCAGCATTGGACTTGGAAGCAAAAGACCAGGTGTAAGACTCAACTTTCTGCTTTCCTAACTTTACACCATCAGGACAGTCTGCTGACCTTTCCAAGGCATGTGATCAGCATCTGTTCACCTGCCTTGCTGACCTCACGTGATAATCCTGAGGCCAAAGGAGAGCCCTGCATCCACACGACTAACTGTGTTTTTCTGGCACAACCCGTGGCTTGCTTTCTAAAGCTGCCAGACTCCCTTCCAAATCCAACACCTGCCAAAATCCTTGAGTTCTTACCCAACCTGACCTTCCTAACTTCCCTTGCTTATAAGTCAATGCATTCACTCCAGAGCCCCCTGTGCCTGTGTTCCGATCTTCACCATTATTTTTATTCCTTGCCCACTCTCCACATCAAGGCCTATTGGCTTCTCCTTTGCAAAATCACCCGTATTTGTACCCTTTCCAAACCCGCTAGCAGCACGCACATTCAAACCAAAGTCATTGCAAAAGCCCAGCAAGAGACCCACCTGCCTCTCGCCCGTGCCCCACTCTGGTCCAGCTTTCAGGAGGCCCCCAGCCTACCTCCTAACAGACTGCAAGCTGAAGTAAATGCACACAGGCCACCTGATCCTATCCAGGTTCCGCAGACAGGTATTCCAAGATCTCTGGAGTACAGCACTACATTCTCAATCAAAGTTCAATGGCCACTAGCCCACAGCCAGCTTTTCTCTCCAGACAGGCTGTTCTCTCCATGCCAGCCCCTCACCCCTGCCCCACCCCCATCACTATCACTACTGCTACTAACACACCCCCCGCTCCTGTCCCCAGGCCTCTTAGGGGAACCTGGCCATGTTGCCACTCTCGCTCATCCAAGGCCCAGCCCCCTCTGACTACCCCCAAGTCTTCCCGAGCTCTGTGAATGCGGAGAGCACCGTGCACTTCATTGAGTCTTCCTACACTGCTCTCCTGTTAGGTCCCATGTGATAGCATCCTTCTGCCACTTGAACATGACTGCCAGTTCTTTGAGGACATGGATCGTATCTCTGATGACCACCAGAGAGCCTAACTCCAACTGGACAACTAATGACCACAGTCTTCAGAGAGACCTCTGTCTCCTCCTGGGTAAAACAGGAGGCCCACGAACTCTGAAGCTGTGCCCTAGAGGAACCTTGGGAAGTTCTTCATGGGCCTCCTTAGAGAAGCAGAGGGTGGCAGAGGGGCCAAAAGGGCTGGACTCCGGCCCCTCTCCTGCTTCAGCCTGGGCAGCTCTCCTTTACCAGTTCTTCCAAATGAGTCCAAATAAGAACTGTACCTTACAAAAGAATAAAAAAGACTCCACAGCTAAGACCAAAAAAAAACAATTAAGACTGGACGACATGACCAGGGAAAATCTTACCTGGGATTTCCGAATCCGAAGGTCGGCCGACGACCGGACCTCATCTTCCTCGATGTGCCTCTCCATACCTGCAGAGCAGAGCGAGGTTATTCCAGCAACACATCACTGCTCTCCAAGCAGCACACAGCTCAGTGCCAGGCTCCCCGCACACCCTCTTGCACCCAGCCCATGCAGAGATACAACAGGCATCTACAATCTCGACCCGTCAGCTCGCAAGTGAGCCATGGGCCTCATGTTCCACGCCCTTTACTGTACCAGGTCTTGTCTGATTGTAACTGAGCACAGCGGCTAACAGCAAGAGTCTCCGTCACCAGGAGACTCGGGCTCAAATCCCTGCCCTGCCACTCACTAGCTGTGTGACGTTGGGAAGGCCACGCCACCTTGGTGTTCGTGTTCTCTCATGTACAGAATGGAGTGAGGACAGCACCTCCCTCACCCACGTCAGCAGTGAATGAGAACGCACACAGTGCCCCCCACACTCTCACAGCTCCTATTGGAAGCTGCCCCTAACCACCTCCACCTCTGCCCATGAAAACAGGTATTGTGATTCGTTTTGGGGGAAGAAATGATGAATGCCACCTCCACCCTCTGATCAACAGTCTGCTTTCCCAAGCCAACTGGACAAAAATGCCGTTGGAACAAAGAGACCTTTTGGGCCCCAGGGGAACTCAGTCTATGACCTCGCCTCACTGAACAAAGGTCTAAACTGAAGGGGTGGAGACCTGGCCCCCCAAGAACTGTCTGCAGACTGAATAATAATATGTCCTACATCTAGATAGCTCTAGCATTAGTGTTCACACGGACGTAGGGCTGGGAAATGGGACCAGTAAGAGAAAAGTCAAGGGACCAAGAAAGCACCGAGTCACACGACTCGGCAGCCGGCAGCACACTTTGGTTCTGCACTCTTTCAGCTGCAGTCCTGCTTCCAGGACAGGCAAGATTTCGGGGGCAGTGCCCAAACTACAAGCGAAGATGGGACGAGCATATCATCTGGATGAGTTTCGGTCCAGAAGAGCTGGGCCCCGCGGATGTGGGCGCCGCGGATGTGAGGCGGCTGGTGGTGGGGCTGGCTTGTTGCCGTTGCTCCCTTCTTACTCTTCAGTTTGTTCCGGACGTTGTTGGCCCTTTTCTTGATCTCGGTCGTGAGCTGCTCTAGGTCATCCTTGGTTTCTGGGTAAACAAAGGCAAGCAGAATCAGCTAGAGAGACTAATTGCTCTGTGAGCCTCACCAAGCAAGAGGAGGTGGGAGCTTTCTCAAGAACCCACCACCCACAGCAGTATTTATCCTGAGGTGCTCCCTAGACATCTGTCCTTAGAATCACAGACAGCTTATTTAATAAGCACTTTTCTAGGCACCCTGGTCCCAGACCTACAGAATAAAAACACCCACAGTTGGAGCCCTACAATCTGTCTTTTTAACAAGCTTTCCCAATGTTTATTGCAGCAATGTCCACAAAAGCCAAAATATAGAAAGAGCCCAGATGTCCATCCACAGATGAATGGATAAAGAAGATGTGGTATATATATACAATGGAATACTACTCAGCCATCATAAAGGATGAAATCTTGCCATTTTTCAACAACATGGATGGATCTAGAGGGTATTATGCTAAGCAAAATAAGTCAGAGAAAGACAAATACCATATAATTTTACTCATGTGGAATTTAAGAAACAAAACAGATGAACATAGGGGAAGGGAAGGAAAAATAAGATAAAAACAGAGAAAGAGGCAAACCATAAGAGACTCAACTCTAGGGAACAAACTGAGGGTTGCTGGAGGGGAGGTAAGGAGAGCACTTGATGTAAATGAGCAATGGGTGTTATATGCAACTGATGAATCACTAAACTCTACCCTGAACCTAAAAATACACTATATGTTAACTAACTTTAAGTTGAATTAAAAAAAAAAAAGCTTTCCCAAGTAATCCTGTGGCACACAAAATTATGAGAACCTTGCTCTTAGAGGAAATCATCTGGTTTACCATGATGGCTTCAGCTCAAAGGTAGGAGAGAGTTTCATGGGATTTCTGAGAAAAGGGATGCCAACAAAGGCTCATCAACCTAGATTCGAGCAAATATTTATGACATACCTACTATGTGCACAATGCTACTCTAGGATATATGGAGCAAAGGAAGTACTGGCCATGACTATTCATTCAGAAACCATCCTTCAGCACCTGCTACAAGTTTGGACCTGAGCTAGACACTAAGCCATCAGAGAGAAGATAGAGATCCTGCCTTCAGGGGCTCAGGGTCTACTGGGGGACAAGGAACGAATAAATCAGTTGTTCTAATGTGCAGTGTGGAGTAAGGTGTGAGTTCTGGTCAAGGTGTGCACAGGATGGTGATGAAGAGCCCCTAGCACAGCCTGGAGGGATCTGGAAACACTTCTAAAGACAGATGATAGTAAGATTGTGTCTTGACAAAGGAGGAAGTGCTAACCAGGCAGAAAAGGAGATGAAGAGCAGAGTCTCTGGGAGGAGGGACGATATGTAAAAGACATGAGGAGACAAGAACCATTTGGGGAACAGCAAAAGTTCAGTCTGGCTAAAGTGTGGGTGACATGGGGGAAGGGTGGCAGGAGGAAAGGGTGTGGAGAAGGGCAGGCATGTGACTAAGACAATTCCCGTGTGCTCCACTGAAACATTCCAGCTTTAACCTTCTGGTGCTAGGGAGCCGCTGAACAATTCAGAGCAAAAGGATAGCATCTGGCTCGTTTCTTGTCCTTAAGGAACCTAAAATACAGCCCTAACCCCACTCTAAAAATGTGAAAGTTTGCTGAGGTGGGGGTACCAAATGGGAGTCTCGGAATAGGTGGGACTGAAGTGAACGTGACCCATTCTGGAACATCTCATGGAAAAAAGATGGCCTTGATCTGGCAGGATTTGGATGGGGGCGGGGAAAAGCGTTTCAGGTGGGGAAATAGCACACGCAAAGGTACAGCCGAGATGAGGGACGTGAGAAGCAGTCAGCGTCACTGCAGTCGTGAGAGGGGCTGGATGGCAAGGAGAGGAGAGTTCGGCCACATGGACTCCGCGGGACCATGAAGACCAGAGCCGGCTGAGCTGGGCACGTGAGCTCAGGCAGGGAAAGGAGAATGGACAGACCCAACGTGTACACGGTGTGGTGTGGTGCACACACCCCCTGCTGCTCACAGGAGGGAGGAAAACTGGCTCAGCCCCAATGCCAAGGGCAATTGCTGGGTGACTCGGGTCTAAGTAAACACTCACTTGGCTCTGGAATCGGTGCAGACAGGATGATACTGTAGAGTTTCTTAGCCTCTTCCACGTGCTCGGATATCTTGTCAATGTTTTGCCGAGTTTCCTCGATCTAGAATCACAAAGACAATAGCCTTTGTTGGGGGAGGAAGAACATGTCCACAACTGAGATAAAAGCTTAGCAGAGCTCCCTGGGGAAAGCCGCCCACCTTCTGGGTTTGTGGGACAACATGAGGACTAAAAAGTCTTCTGCTGCTGGGTGAGTGCCCTTTGCATGACCAGATAAACTAGCATCCAGAGCAGTCACCAAAAACCCACATGCCCTGCTCCCTGAGAAGAACACATCCACCCATCTGGGATGGGAGGCTGTGGACCAGAGTCAAGAAGAGCCAGGAAAACCCAAGAAGACGAGTCAGAGGACAGAGCCAATAAACCGTATCAGGCAGACCAGTCGGCCACCCCGGGAACGAGAACACCAGAAGGGGGAGGATGGGAGAGAGAGAAAAGGGAAGTCGGAAAGAAAAGCAGGGAAGGGGAGAGAACAGACGTAGAGAGTGAAAACAAAGAAGAGAGAGAGAGAGACTAATAAGCATGGCCCCCTCAGGAGACACCAGAGTTTCCCCTGGACATGTGTTCTGCTGGATTCCCCCAGATGATCAGCCTCCAGACACTCCAGCCACAGACCATGTCTGCACCTGACTAAGGTTCCTGATTATGCAAGGTGTGCATCATAAAATATTCCCAGCAGCACTTCATTCCCAGATAGAACAGGATCACAAGACACTGCTGCGCGAGCACTCCTCAGCTGATAGGGGAGCCCGACAGAGACCTCAACGCCCACCAGGTCTAGCTGCCGCACTTCCAGAAGGATGGGCTTATCAATGCTGTGGCAATTAACAGACAAATCTTGTAAAATACCATCCAGCAGCATCTTACCATCAGGAATACGATAAAATACAACTCAGTATGCAGTGTCCAGCATACCTTCTTCCAGCAAATAATTCACTTGATTTTGAAAACCCAGTCAGAGCTCTCCAGATTAAACAGAAAACAGGAAAAATAAAACTTGAGTTCTCTAACCCTCGAATGAGCACTTCTGCCAGTGGAACTGTGGACATTGTCCCTCTACAAATATGCTGGTTGTGATGAACCACAGTTTGAGAGTAGACTCACTTGCTTCAAGATATAAAATAAAATTTCAATGTAATCGTATCATCAGAGTATAAATCCAAATACAAGTCGCACCCACACATTTGTGAAGCATTTTCACAGCTGGCAAAACAATCCATGGTGACGCATGAGGACCGTTATTCACCTGAGGAACCTAAAGGTTGAAGAGGTCACAGGTCACGTAGTGGGACGACACTCAAATAGGGATGGTTGGAAGTGGGAGCACTCCAGACTCCAGCTGGGATGCTTTTTGCATTATTTCTAAGACTTGATCTTGTGGTTTCTCCAAACTGTTTAACCTCTAGCAGAATCCCAGACCTACCCAACGCTAACAAGGGCCTATGTTACCACCTGTGAATGCTGGCAGGCTCTAGAGGTGTGACCACCTCAGATTCAGGCCCTTGGGTGAAGCCAGAAATTGCCACTTTGCCCTTCCCTTGTCTCTCACATCAACACTGGCTCCTCTTACAACTCATATAATGTCATTGCATCAAACCATGTCCCATTTCCATTATGTGACTGTCTTGCCAAAGTAATTCCACTATATCAAATAGGACTGAGAAAAAAAGGCTCTGTAGGATAAAACACACAAACCACTTCAAAAAGGGTTTCACATAAGAGAATCAGAGAAATAAGTGACACCATGAAGCATTCCAATGTCAGAATAATTGGAATCCCAGAGGGAGTGGAGAGAGAGGGGACTAGATGTATTTGAGCAAATCATAGCTGAGAACTTCCCTAATATGGGGAATGAAACAAACATTCATGTCCTAGAGGCAGAGAGGACCCCTCCCAAGATCCAGGAAAACAGGCCAACATCCCGGCATGTAATAGAATACTCACAAATCTTAGAACCAAGGAAACCATCTTAAGGGCAGTTAGGGGGAAGAGATTCCTTACGATCAGAGGGAGGAACATCAGAATAACGTCAGACCTATCCACAGAGACCTGGCAAGCCAGAAAGGCCTGGCAAGACATATTCAGGGTACTAAACGAGAAGAACATGCAGCCGAGAATACTTTATCTGGCAGGGCTGTCATTTAGAATGGAGGGAGAGATGCAGAGCTTCCAACACCACAGAAACTGAAAGAATATGTGACCACTAAGCTGGCCCTGCAAGAAATATTAAGGGCGGCTCTATAAAAGGAGAAAGACACCAAGAGTGATATATAACAGAAATTTAGAGAGACATTCTATAAAAACAAGGTCTTCACAGGCAACATGATGACAATAAATTCGTATCTTTCAATAATCACTCTGAACGTGAACAGCCTAAATGCTCCCATAAAATGGCACAGGGTTACAGATTGGATAAAAAGATAGGACCCATCCATATGCTGTCTACAAGAGACTCATTTTGAACCTAAAGATACATCCAGACTGAAAGTGAAGGAATGGAGATCCATATTCCATGCCAGCAGACCTCAAAAGAAAGCTGGAGTAGCAATTCTTATATCAGACAAATTGGATTTAAAACTAAAGACTGTAGTTAGAGACACAGAAGGACACTATACCATTCTTAAAGGGTCTATCCAACAAGAAGACCTAACAATTGTAAATATCTATGCCCCCAACATGGGAGCAGCCATCTACATAGGCCAACTGTTAACCAAAATAAAGAGTCATATTGATAACAATACGTTAATTGTAGGAGACCTCAATACTCCACTCTCAGCAATGGACAGATCATCTAAGCAGAAAATCAACAAGGAAACAAGAGCTGTGAATGATACATTGGACCAGATGGACCTCATAGATATTTACAGAACATTCCACCCTAAAACAACAGAATACTCATTCTTCTCGAACGCACATGGAACTTTCTCCAGAATAGACCACATACTGGGTCACAAATCAGGTCTCAACCGATGCCAAAAGATTGAGATTATTCCCTGCATATTCTCAGACCACAATGCTCTAAAACTGGAACTCAATCACAAGAAAAAATTTGGCAGAAATTCAAATACTTGGAAGCTAAAGACCACTCTGCTCAAGAATGTTTGGGTCAACCAAGAAATCAAAGAAGAACTTAAACAATTCATGGAAATCAATGAGAACGAAAACACAGCAGTCCAAAACCTATGGAATACTGCAAAGGCAGTCCTAAGGGGGAAATACATAGCCATCCAAGCCTCACTCAAAAAAATAGAAAAATCCCGAATTCACCAACTGACTCTACACCTTAAAGAACTAGAGAAAAAGCAACAAACGACGCCTAAGCCACGCATTAGAAGAGAAATAATTAAAATTAGAGCAGAAATCAATGAATTAGAAACCAGAAACACAGTAGATCAGATCAACAAAACTAGAAGTTGGTTCTTTGAAAGAATTAATAAGATCGATAAACAACTGGCCAGACTTATCCAAAAGAAAAGAGAAAGGACGCAAATTAATAAAATTATGAATGAAAGGGGAGAGATCACGACTAACACCAAGGAAATAGAAACAATTATTAGAAATTATTATCAACAACTATATGCCAATAAACTGAGCAATCTGGATGAAATGGAGGCCTTCCTGGAAACCTATAAGCTGCCAAGACTGAAACAGGAAGAAATTGACAACCTGAATAGGCCAATAACCAGTAACGAGATTGAAGCAGTGATGAAAAACCTCCGAAAAAACAAGAGTCTGGGGCCTGATGGATTCCCTGGGGAATTCTACCAAACATTCAAAGAAGAAATAATACCTATTCTCCTGAAGCTGTTTCAAAAAGTAGAAACAGAAGGAAAGCTTCCAGACTCATTCTGTGAGGCCAGCATTACCTTAATCCCCAAACCAGGCAGACTCTATCAAAAAGGAGAATTTCAGACTGATATCCCTGATGAACATGGATTCCAAAATCCTCAACAAAATCCTAGCTAATAGGATCCAACAATACATTAAAAGGATCATCCACCACGACCAAGTGGGATTTATCCCCAGGATGCAAGGGTGGTTCAACATTCGCAGATCAATCAATGTGATAGAACACATTAGTAAGAGGAGAGAGAAGAACCATATGGTCCTCTCAAATGATGCAGAAAAAGCATTTGACAAAATACAGCATCCTTTCCTGATTAAAACTCCTCAGAGTATAGGGATAGAGGGAACATTCCTCAAGTTCATAAAATCCATCTATGAAAAACCCACAGCGAATATCATCCTCAATGGGGAAAAGCTGAGAGCCTTTCCCTTAAGATCAGGAACACGTCAAAGATGCCCACTCTCACCACTATTGTTCAACATAGTACTAGAAGTCCTAGCAACAGCAATCAGACAACAAAAAGAAATAAAAGGTATTCAAATTGGCAAAGAAGAAGTCAAACTCTCTCTTTTTGCAGATGACATGATACTTTATGTGGAAAATCCAAAAGACTCCACCCCCAAATTACTAGAACTCATCCAGCAATTCAGTAATGTGGCAGGATACAAAATCAATGCACAGAAATCAGTTGCTTTCTTATACACTAACAACGCAACTGTAGAAAAAGAAATTAAAGAAACGATTCCATTTACAATAGCACCAAAAACCATAAGATACCTCGGAATAAACCTAACCAAAGAGGTAAAGGATCTATACTCTAGGAACTACAGAACACTCATGAAAGAAATTGAAGTAGACACAAAAAAATGGAAAAACATTCCATGATCATGGATCAGAAGAATAAACATTGTTAAAATGTCTATGCTACCCAGAGCAATCTATACCTTCAATGCCATCCCGATCAAAATTCCAATGACATTTTTCAAAGTGCTGGAACAAACAATCCTAAAATTTGTATGTAATCAGAAAAGACCCCGAATCGCCAAGGAAATGTTGCAAAAGAAAAACAAAACTGGGGCATCACGTTGCCCGATTTCAAGCTGTATTACAAAGCAGTGATCACCAAGACAGCACGGTACTGGCACAAAAACAGACATATAGACCAATGGAGCAGAATAGAGAGCCCAGATATGGAC